ATTTTGACGACGAAATCATTATCTCCGACCCCAAAAACCCTCAGATACCAATTTTGAATAGAATCGGTCCATAATTACAAAATTCGTCCGCCATATTGGATTCGTCATCTTGAATTTCCTAATTTTGACGAAAGAATCATAATCTCCGACCCTGAAAACCCCTAGATACCAATTTTCAATTAAATCTACTCATAATTAAAAAACTCGTCTGCCATAAGGGATCCGCCATTTTGAATTTCCTAATTTTAACGACGGAATCATAATCTCCGACTCCAAAAACCCCTAGATACAAATTTTTAATAGAATCGGTCAATAATCACAAAACTCGTCCGCCATATTGAATCCGCCATTTTGAACTTCCTAATTTTGACGAGAGAATCATAATCTCCGACCCCGAAAACCCCCAGCTACCAATTTTGAATAAAATCGGTCCATAATTACAAAACTCGTCTATTTGATTTTTTCAATTTTTGCCATATTTGATTTTTTCAATTTTTTTTCTACCTATACCATCCCTGAACTATAACGGAATAAACTAAAAAAAATTATCCAAATCAGTCGAACAGTTTACGATTTTATCGAGGACATACAGACAGACAGACAAACATTCATTTTTATAGAGAAGATGCAGAATAATTATTTTTATTCTGATCTGATTTTTTATCCAAGAATGGTAAAAGAGTGTATGCCACATTCTGGCAACGCTGGCACGGTTTCGAGGGTGCAAGGCGCTATAAATAGACCAAATAGACCACAGACTGTCTGGACCTCGGATGAATTATTCGCACCAAGGATACTGGAGACATCTATGTATGTTCTGTTTCACTAATTTCAGTGTTGACCAAATCCCCATTCACGGTGTATATCTAGGGGAGTCGTTAATCTATGCCTTAGGTTTATTAGATCTTCCTGTTGAAGCGTATCAGCACCAAAGATTTCAAATCTCAGCCTTCCATGCGCCTGACACTGGCCCAGAAAGTGGTATGACATACCATACAGTAGAATAGATGCAGTTTGGGTACCAATTGATATTTAGCCTATTGATTGTTGATTTCTACTCGATGTAGTAGCACAATAGTTATTTATTATAAAAAGAAAAAAACCGTGAGCTAAAATCTAATATTTTTCCCGTGTATAATACACTATTTTTTTCTGTGACAGAAGAAAGGACGAATCAATTTTGAGAAGATATTACATTATTTTAAGTTTTTAACAGTAGGGACACCTGCGCTGTAGACATCTTTATCATTCTTTTGAAGTAATCAAATATCTTATGTCACTTCTGTCAGTCTAATTCTGTGATTTGATTTTAAAAAATTGCGAATGTAGTGGTTGTTTAGTAATATACGCGATACGTAACAGCGAAGTCGAATGGAAGATAAAAGAACTTGCAGTTCTTCCTCAGAGACGGTCTTCTTGACTCATTTTTCGGAACTATAGCACAACAAAAGCCATCAACAGTGTATATATATATCCGAGAAAAAAGTACTGACTTTTTTTGTCACAGAAAAAAATCACTATTTTAGGAAGTCAAAATATTATTCTGTCATTAAAACGTCAAAAAATTTCCGATTTATTTCCGTGGTGGGTACCCACAAGAAAAACAGTGCCACCAAAATACATACATTATTTATTTATTTATTCATTGAACAAACAACTTCCAGACAGGTTCTGGTATGAGGAAATACAGAATTATATATCTATAGGTAGGTAAACATTTCATCATTCAAAAAAATATCAACAACTATAAATTGGCAAACATAGATTAATATTTGTAGAAAAACATAGTAAAATAACATGATTAATTTTATCCAGTTCGCTCAGGAATAATCATTTTTTTTACTTTATTTTTGCAGTTTTTAATATTGGCAGTTAGTTTATTGAAGGCTGTATGAGTGAATCTTTTTTGTCCGAGTATGGAGCTAGCGACGTCAAGATGAAACAAGATGTCTAGTTTCATGATTATGGATTTCAGAATTCCGTATCAAAATAATATTCGACTTAAATTTTTTTATTCATGATATTCTATGAAATTTCAAGAGTTTCAATTTTATATATTTAATCTAAAGAATACGTATTTGTTATTTCATACAATTGATTGGTTGGTGTATTGAATGAGAGAGGATACAGTACTTTTAACGATTTTTTATGTAATGTTAATATTTTATTGAAATTATTTTTTGAACAAGATCCCCAAACATTTATTAAATAGTTCCGACTCAGTATATGAGAGTAGAGAATCATGTTTGCAATTTCAATATCAAGTTTGGGAAATTTTCTCAATGCACCAATAATTGGAGATATTTTCTTTGTCAAAACATCAAAATGTTTGTCCCACTTCAACCTGTCATCTAACCAAATACCAAGATATTTTACCTGGTCAGTTTGTCTTAAGAGTTCATTTTTTATTTTGGTTGAGGTGAATTTTTTTTTTTCATTTTTTTGTGGAAAAATCTTATATCGCTGAACATATTGTTGTACCTCTCACTCACATTATCAATTTATCCCTCCAGCAAGGAGTATTTCCTTCTAGGCTGAAGATATCCAATGTCATTCCTCTTCACAAAAAAGGTGATTCAAATACTGTAGATAATTATAGGGCTATTACTCTATGCTCAAGCATAGGCAAAATTTTTGAAGCTGTCGTCAACAAAAATATCATTAACTTTTTAACATCCAATGGTAACTTGTCTCTATGCCAACATGGTTTCACGAAGAATAGAAACACTGACACTGCACTTTGTGAATTTTTAAATAATATATATAAAGCTCTCGATGATAAACAAGTGGCACTGGGGTTATTTATAGATTTTTCCAAGGCATTTGACTGTGTTCGGCATGATATTCTTCTGTATAAATTGGAGAGATATGGAATTCGTGGAGTTACTCTCCAATGGTTTGCATCATATCTGACTGATAGACAACAGCAGGTTAAATGTAATAACTATATTTCTGATTTGAAATCTGTGAATATAGGTGTGCCTCAAGGATCCATTCTTGGTCCAACACTCTTTATTATATATATCAACGATTTAATTGAATCAATGAGATCACACTCTACTCAAGTAGTAGCTTATGCTGATGATACAAACTTTCTGTTCATTTCAGACACTGTTTATAATGCTAAAAAACAGGCCGAACTAGTTTACATGAATGTTTGCAAGTGGGTTGATGTGAACAAGCTTTGTCTGAATAATGATAAATCGACCTGTGTTATTTTCAAATCTTCTGGTTCAGAATATCCTAACCACGTAACTCTAAATAATACAAAAATCAACTGCGCTCTAGATACTAAATTGCTTGATGTTATTTTAGAAAGTAACCTGGAGTGGTATGGACATGTAGATAGTTTGTGTTCGAAGCTAGCTAGGATATGCTATGCCCTTTTCATTTCATCACAACAATGTAGTAGAGAAATCATTAAACAATTGTATTTCGGATGCTTCCACTCAAATTTAAAATATGGAATCATGCATTGGGCGAATTCCGCAGAAGCTCATAGGGCCTTCACCTTACAAAAAAGGGCAGTCCGTATCTTGGGAAATCTGAGAGCAAGAGATTCATGCAGGGAATATTTTAAAAAACTGGGTATCTTCACAATGATTTCCCTTTACATTTATGAAGTAACCTGTTTTGTATTTAATCATAAACGTTATTTTGAGACTGAAAAAGTCGAACATAATTACAATACAAGAAACAAAGATTATCTGTTGCCTCCTCAACACTCATCTGCTCGGTATCAGAAAAGTTTATATTACAATGGATGTAAATTATACAATTGCCTGCCAAAATCTATACAAGAATCAAAAAATAAATTCCAATTCAAGAATAAAATGAAAAACTTGCTCCTGAAAAAATCTTATTACACCTTGGATGAATTCTTCTGTGATCCAATCATCGCTGACTGATGAATAATGTTTTTAGAGTAGACGTTCATATACTCTTTATGTTTATGTACCTGTGAAATCTTGTATATTATTATGTTTGTTTCATACCTACGATATTTATTTATTTATGTACTTTAGCCTGATTTTGACGTTTTTTTCTTAAACTGTATGTTTTTGAAACAAATAAATCTATCTATCTATCTATCTATCTATCTATCTATCTATCTATCTATCTATCTATATTCTGTTTTATCAGTATTTATCGATAGAAGGTTAGAGTGGAGCCAATTTTCAAATATTTTCAAGTTTTTAATTCTGTTGCGTCATTGTTCGCGAAATTGTGTTACCGAGCAACACCACGAGTCCGTCAGGACGAGTGGTATTGCTGTACGGTAACACAATTGAGTTAACAATGAGAGAGAGAATCATGAGAAGATATTCAGAACAGAGTGGTATTTTGCTAGACTATTTGACGTTCACAGAACATAAAAAAAGATTTATTAAAATTGAGTGATTCAATCGGACAAGTACAGTGATAATTATTTTATGCCTAAATTTTTTATTTTGGTTGAGGTGATTTTTTTTTTTTCATTTTTTTGTGGAAAAATCATATATTCTGTTTTATCAGTATTTATCGATAGAAGGTTAGAGTGGAGCCATTTTTCAAATATTTTCAAGTTTTTAATTCTGTTGCGTCATTGTTCGCGAAATTGTGTTTCCGAGCAACACCACGAGTCCGTCAGGACGAGTGGTATTGCTGTACGGTAACACAATTGAGTTAACAATGAGAGACAGAATCATGAGAAGATATTCAGAACAGAGTGGTATTTTGCTAGACTATTTGACGTTCACAGAGCATAAAAAAAGATTTATTATAATTGAGTGATTCAATCGGACAAGTACAGTGATAATTATTTTATGCCTAACTGACAGACTTTGCTTCGCTATCCATGGTTATATTCAGACTTTGATTTGCTATCTATGGTTACATCATTAAAAACATGAACGCTGTCAGACCAATCAGAATCGAAAGACACCTCAGATTATGTGATGAGTGAAATAGTCAATGAAATTCTCGAAAATTCGTATATCTAATTTCCATGCAATTTCCAGACATGAGAAGATGATTTCCGGCATGTATATGGGCGAATTGGTTAGATTGGCACTCGAGAGATTTACCAAAGAAGGTCTGCTGTTCGGAGGAAAGGGATCGGATATGCTCTTCGAAAGAGGAAGATTCTATACCAAATATGTCTCGGAAATCGAAAGCGACGCACCTGGCGTCTTCAACAATCTCAGAGAAATTTGCGAAGAATTAGGTAACATCTCGATAACATTTTAATTTGTAAGGAGAATCAGTCTCAACGCATATTTTCAGGACTCAAACATGCCACAGAACAGGACTACATCAATATTAGATACATATGCGAATGTATTTCGCGAAGATCGGCGCACTTAGTTTCTGCAGGATTGGCGACACTCTTGAACAAAATGGGAGAGAAGAAAGTGACGATTGGAATCGATGGCTCAGTGTACAGGTTCCATCCGCACTTCCACAATTTGATGATGGAAAAAATCAAGGAATTAGCGGACCCCAGCATAGAGGTACGTAACATTTATAGTTACTGTATGTTGGTTAATCGAGGTGAAGGAATATTCATTTCTATAGATGAAAATATTATATGAAGGTACTATTATTATTATTTCAATATACCGGGTCTTCAACAATGATTAAACACCATCATATATGTCATATTAGCACCTTGGATCATTCATGGCTGTAGTTTCCATTGTCTACGTTCTGTGGTTAACTTGTCATCTGTCATAGCAGCCAATAGGCAGAAAATATGGATTGCGAATCTGTCTCTTCAACTTTGTGTTTTCGAAATTTATATTGCACAGGTGTAGCTCATTATCACCCAGTAGCGCTTTGTTGTCTTTTCTCCTTGGTTTGTTGATAGTTTATATGGTTCTTGATTTTATTTTATTGTTTTTGCATTTGATCATTTCACTCACAATTATTACTTTGTGAAAAACAGTTTTTCATCAAAACTTCATATTCAATTCATTGTTGTGAAAAGTTAAGACCAATAATTAACCTCTTGTTATTATTGTTCATGTTCTTATTTTCCTTTCAGGATTGAACATGTTTTTTTTTTATCGGTGGAATGGATGCCTGCTTCTTACTGATGGCACATTTCAGGAGTGGTACTCATAATCCTGATGGATCGTGGACATATTCACTTTAAAACTGCCTGGAAAAATTTCATGATGCATTTTCAAATGCTAATATCCCATACGCCTATGTTTTATTTTGATAGCAGCTGTAAATTTCCAGATATTTATTTACCAACTGTGCAGTGTTGGTTGCAAACACGTTTTGGTCACGTGGTGTTCAATCATTGTTGAATACCCGGTACTTTCAGTGAGGACAAAACCAAAAGATGGAGAATATAATCATCGTATAGGTTTGCTTTGTAAAAAGTATTATAGAGGTGAAACAAAGAGACCTCTCTCAGCACGGATGTAAGATTATAAGACAATATATAAAGAAGAGATGTATCAACAAATCAAAATTTACAGGAACAGGTCCATTCCCGAATCGTGCAAAGATAGATGACATTGTATATTTCTCATTTCTCAGTATACCTATATTCTTTCTCCAAACAGTACTTAAACTATTGATCGAATATCGCCTATACTGGGGGGTTGTACGCGATGTATCAAATTATTTCGGAAATAACCCGTGGCACCGAGTTGCACCTAAAAACTATATATAGGTAGGTACTTTTGTACTTATTCTATGAAAAAATTCTTTGATTTGTTGTGATGTTGAACTGCTCTAGAGTTGTTTTTATTTTGCTTTGCTCATTATTCACAAACAACCAACCATAATGAAATAAACTATAATGAAAAATGTTTTCATGCATAAATAATGTTATAATTAATACTCTTGGTGGTTCGCTGATTATTTCCTTGAAAAATTAAGTGAAATAACTCAGTCCTTACAGCTGGTAATATAAAATTTACTGGACATGATAGGGATTCCTTCTCGTGCGATTCAATAAATAGAAAAACGGCAAAGCTTTGGAATTATTTGCCAATGGAAGTGTTCCCTGTCTTTTACACTATACTAAACCAGGACAAGCCTTCTTATTTTACTAAGATCATGTCATTGTGAAAATCTGTTTTGAAAATGATGCAGTGCTACTTTGTACCCAATGAATAAAAATAATGAAAGATAATCAAAAACTGTATTTGATTACTTCGAAAGGCTTCAATAGCAACAAAGATTCCAACACAGCTGTAATTGTCGCAGTCTACCAGTTCAAAACTTCTTTCACATCGATAATTTTCTGATTTTAATATAATGTAATATCTTCCAGTGGCGTGTATTTCGTGCAAGAAAGTCTGAAGGCAGGAATTTTAATAATTTAAATTGTGTACTTGAACTACAATTGTGATTTCAGTTCAATTTTTACTTTAAAATAGGTACCTTTAATTCATAGTGGATTATTAGAATATTAAGTATTAATTATAAAGTTTGCATGTAACCTACTTCACGTTGTGATTTATTTTTGAACTCTCACAAAAGTGTATAAATAAGTTATTAAACAAAAAGTACTATACCGGCGAGTGGACTATTTCTTTTATTTCTGAAATAGAATCATCACTCAAATACCTTTCAATTTCATATTTTTTAAGAATTGTTCGGTCGATTTTTAGGTGCTAAAATCATTTATAATGCCATGGTAATTTTCAAACGGCTAGAAATTTACCGCCTGTAAAAACTGAGGCCACGATTTCGTAAGTAGGGGCAGACGATAGCATAGTTGCCATGTGTTGAAATACGATTGGGAACTTCAGATAATATTAGTTATTCAATAATTCATAAATTCTCAATTGAGTAATTTGCAATAAAAATTCAATTGTCTCAAAATGGTCCCTTATGATTTGTGGCTTATCTTCTAATAAATTTGTGTAAATAATAATTATATGAATTCACACTAGAGGACATTTGAATCGGTGAACGTGACAACACGGTGCAAGAATTGTGGGCGTGGTCTTGTCAGCTCTCAGCATTTAGCACAAAGTTGCCAAGTCTCCAACATTTACATAATGTTTTTTAAGGAGAATAAGAAATATTTGAACATGCTGAAAAAGTCAAGAATGAACTATAATATCATGAGTTCCTCCTATTATGTTTAATTCAACGACACGAATCAGAACATCTTTTTGATAACTTGATTATAATTGGTGACTGACAACCTTGCTTTATGAGTGGAAGATTATCTGACCAATAACGAAACAGCATCACCATTTATTCGACGTATCGGCAAATGGCGGCCATGAAGGTTCGTGTGAATGAGCTCCGAAATTCAACAATTTCGAACAACGCATAGACATTATTTACATGCAAAAATTAATTTAGGTTCCTAACGACAAAGATTAATAATTGAATGCCAATAATTCACTATCAATCCACTCGCCTATTGTTGGTTCAGCTTCTTTTTATATTAGGGATGGGTCCGATGAATTTGCCACGGGCCTCGAACGGTATAGTTACGCCACTGATATTTTCTCAATATTGAATCGCCGTTTTTCCTGTCACAGAAAAAAATTAGTATATTATTGGACATAGTGCGTAGTATGATGTATATCAGTTGTTTCTGTTTCTTGTTCCAGTTTGATCTGATGTTATCTGAAGATGGCAGTGGAAGAGGGGCTGCGTTAGTGGCGGCTGTGGCAGCCAGGTTACAAAAAGAAAAGAAACCTGTCCGAACATAACAAACGCTACTTAATTAATGAAGAGCTTAATTTTGATATGTTAAATTATTTTTTTAGAGAACTTTTGGGTGTAACTCATAGGTTTAAATTCGGGTTCCTGTGTAGGCTGCGTTAGTAGATATTTTTTGCGAGGAACCTTTTTATTATATCACTGTGTGACTATCACCAAATCAATTTTGAAATTTTAACTAAAAAAATATCCTCAAATGATAATTCCAGAAAATACAATATTTTTATAGCATGATGAACTATTTATTGTTAGTATAATTTAATTGATTCATTTCGATATTATTTTATCTGTAGAACGTTGTTCATTGCTTCAGTTCAGATCTTGAGTGGTTATTTTAACAAAATGAATTTGTCTACTTGTATACCACCTTCTTCTACCTACTTAAAATTCTTGTGATTTTGAAAAAATTGTTATCTACTTATAGAGACCATTTTGATGTTTGTACATATTTTTTATCATTGGTATATTTTTAATGATTGGTACTTAACACCGAGACGTTGTTTTGATGTGAAGGCAATGATTTATTTACACATTTATTATTGTGAAAAATAAATGTCTTTTACCCACTTAAACACTGTTTGATTTGGGGAATAATATAACCTCCAAGAGATGTATTTTTATTCCTCCCTCAGTGCCTGCAGTACCATTTTATGGTATATTATAAGGGGTCCTGGATGCCCCAATCATGTCCTTGTACCGCGGGACAAAAAAGGGACGTACCTAGGACATCCCTGTGTCGTTAGGGATCTGGTCTAATCTGGTCCTAATATGGTGATGTAAAATGTTTGTAAAATATGGTCGTTTTCGCTAGCCACATACCCCACACACTTCGGTTTTGCATCATTTTTGTTTGAACATACTTGTTCGACTAACAAAACAGCCCACCAATAACGCAGTCTATGGGATCCTTTACGGGATTCAGTAAGGCAGGAAGCGAACAATTCAAGGCGGCTGACTTCGTATGGAGTGTCAATGAAATAGGGATGGGAGCGAAAAGAAGGCGCCACGATATCCTCGCGTATTAGAGATAATAATATGCTCGCATTTCATGTATGATTTTATCAGCATCGCTGAACGCGAGCAGTATAAGCGATTTATTCAAATTAGTGGATCAAAGATGGGCTCCGTGGCCGAGTTTGTCTATGCGCTGAAATTCGCTAGATAGCCGTTCACGATGCAGAGGTACTGTCGGTTCGAATCCGGCTATCGGCTGAGCATTCTTCTTTAAAATGTGTGATTCATGGTTGTAATCCTGGCAGCACCTCGATGCCCTAGAAGTGGTTCAGATTCCACTATAAGCTGTAGGTCCCGCTCTTCCTAACCCCGCACAAGTTCCGACTTCTGGGGAGTTGGTTCCCAACTTTGAACGAGCGATATAAAAAAAGGTGGGTGTGGCTATTTCGTCTTCAGAAACCAGGTTTTATCAATAAAAGTCACATATGATATGAGTAAATGTACTTGATAATTCGAAATATCCTTCAATCATTTTTACATCATAAAAGTTTAATGAGGTTGTTCTATTTTTTGACAGTTGTAGGAAAAATATTATATGTAACACGTGCGTAGTGTTTTTTTATTCATAGGAACATATCCTACTCGTTAAAAAAGTACCACAAATAACTATAATCATAATTAAATCTTCAATAGATGTATTGCAATTGCATTCATATGATATAAAAGCTTTCGCGATCGAATATAGATTAACGACGTGTGGTTTGGAATTGAGGAATAGTTTTTTAAGGTAGTATTTTATTACCAGTAGACACCCAAAGACGGATCGAGGGGATGATTGAGGTGATGGAGCCAAGAACAAACCCGTCTCTCAACTTTTGATCTATTGGATATTTTTGGAAAATATTTTGTTGCTTCTTTAGTAGGTATACCTAGTTTGATAGCTATATATTTGCGCAATTGAATTTCTGTATCCTTGAAAACTTTTGAGGTTATATATGAGGTAACATGAGTTCTTGGGAAAACTTCCATTGGCAAAGAATTCCGAAGCTTTGCCGTTCTATAGACGAATGAGTTTTGGTAAAGTGTTGTTCGACATATTTCAAGGTTGTTAACGAGAGGATATGTGCTGACTGGGCCTGTGTAGTTCGTCTGACTGGTATATTTGATGGTGATGGAATGATATAGCAGAGATTTCTGAGGAACATTTCCCATGAAAGTATATCTATAGAAAAGTGAAAGGTGGTCGACGTTTCTACGGTGTTCTAATGAGGTCAAAGGATTAGTGAGTGTGGTATCACCCACCAGGCGAATGGCTCTTCTCTGGCTGGAATCTAAGAGCATCAGCGTATGTTTGGGTGCTGAATCTCATATTTGAGAACAGTATTCTAAAACTGGCCGTTTCTGTGCTTTGTAGATCATGAGAAGCTGTTGAGGTGTGAAGATTTTCGCACGGAATAAAAATCCGAGTTTTTGTGAAGCAGCTGTCGCCATGGATCGGACATGATTTTCCCATGAAAGATATTTGCTGATGGAAATACCGTGCATAGATATATAGTGGTCTTGGTGGGAATGGTCGTGGTACTAGACATTTGATATATCAGGGGTATATAATGAGTTTCGCCTTGCTAGACAAAATATATAGAGTACTAACGTTTGCATGCAAAGGGCAATTGTTGCACCCAACATATTATTGATATGTTGGTGCCAAAATTGATCCTTGTCGAACGCCGAAACCCAGGCAACCAGATGACGACTAATCACGTCACTGTGAACGTCCCTAATTGGTGATTTTCCGTCCGAGACATCACACACCAATTTATGACGTCACTATATGACTTACTTATCACGTCATCATCCCGACGTCGAGTGAACGTCACTTGAATGGGTAAAATGAGACGTCAGTTTCTTGACGTTGCATCAGGGACGTCTCGACACGTTCACTTTTCCCAGACCATCTCATGCAAAGCCATTTGTATACTTACATTATCATGTGAAAACGTTAGGTTTGTGACGTACCTATATATATACAGGATGGGCATTTTCAGTGTCGAAAACTCAGGAAAACTGTTTTTTTCATAAATTTCACACCTTTATATAGAAACATATGTACGTCTTGGTTATAGAAATATAACTCATTGAACCGAATCAACATGCAAGTTTTATTGGAATTATATATATACCCGAAAAGTGTGAGAAAGAATGCAAGAATATACGTTACTCAATTGGGGAAGACCACTGAGGGAAGAAATCCGTGCAAACCTCTTTCAATCGACGAATCATGATTTACATTTTATGTACAATCAATATTATGAGTTGAAGTTGAAGGTAAACGAATCCATATCGTTTTGAAATCAGCATATTCCATTCGATATTTCAAACAGTCAAATATGATGGTGGAGTCGTGACGTATCAGTCCCGAACTGTAGCTATCTCTCTCTGATACCTCGTCATTCTGCAGTGTTGCAGTGTAATTGGTCAGTTCAAGGACAATAGGCGTGTTGGGACTATAACGTCGCACCAGTCACACCAATGAATTGATGAAATTTCAAATGGCGCAGGAATTGTGTGTTTTGAAATGGACATATACTAATTTATTCTTTTCATCGTCTTAGAATGAATGAAAAAATTCAAAATTAATTCACTGGTAGTTTTTCAGTATAGAGTTCACGATAATGTCGTTTTAAAAAATCAGTGGTCTTCCCCAACATCCTTTTCCTTCATCAAACTATTCTTAGTTTGCTTACATCTCGCTGACACAAACTACATAATTTTTTATACGAATACAAGTAACTGACTTCATTCTGATGGAGATGCGTACTGAAGGATATCGCTGCTGAATAATGGACATGACACTACCGGAGTGACACCACCAAGCAAACTCATGCATCAATACATAATCAATATTATATGTCATATCAGCAGAGGTCAGTGGTGTTTATCACACCATGTTTGAGGAGACTTTGACGTCATTTCGACGTCAGTCCGACGTCACAGTTTGGTGAGTGAATGACGACAATAAACGTGAGCAATATGACGTCATTGGGCTGTGACTTATCCACGTCATTTATCACGTCATACGACGTCAACTCCTGACGTCACCTTGGTCATTCAACTGACGTAAAAAGACGTCACTGAAACGTCATTTGGTTGCCTGGGAATTGATGGCAATGGTGTCAGACGATACTCCGTCCAGCACCACATGAAGCGACGATCTGCTTGAAAGAAAACTCAATAAAACATTAAGAGGAGCCCTAGGTGCCAAACACGGTCGAATGCATTCGATATATCCACAGCTATGGGTGGCGTCGACAAGTAAATCTCCAGTTGCTATTAGATTTATGATATTTGATGAGCTCAATGTTGATGGCTTTCTCCATCACTTTGGAGATGACTGATAACAGGTGAATTGGCATGCCTTTTTGTTTCCTTTTTTGGGGATTGGTTAGACTCTAGCTGTTTTCCAGCGAGATGGAAAAATGCTCGACTTGTACGAGAGATGGTAAAATAACTTGCAGATAATCGGTGTCAATTCTGGTGCACACTTTTTGAGAATAATGGGTGGAATGCCTTCAGGACCGTTGGCCTTATTCATTTTGAGACCATGTAGAATGCGTCTGATATAGTGCGTTGACGAAAGACGATTTGGGGCATCGAGTTTCAACTTGTGGAATGTCGCGGCACTATTTCATGGGAATCAATAAGGTGACGTTTGCTGCCAACATCTCTGCAAAAAAGTTTGCTTTCTCTTGCGATGTTGTTGCTAATATGCCGTCTTTAGAATGATGGGAATGAACTATTAGTGAAATTCCTTCCAACTGCTTTAGCGAAGGACCAAAACGAACGGGAGCCATTGGAACAATCTAAAAGTTTTGATTTAATTTTGGCATTGTATGATTCTTTTGATGCATCTATTGTCTGGCTGCAGTTATTCCTGGCTTCAACATGTTCTGCTCTAGTCACGAATGTTGATGGATTTCTCCATTACTTCGGAGATGACTGATAACAGGTCAATTTTGGATTATAGTTGTTGGGCATGCCTTTGTTTCCTTCTTTGGGGATTCGTTAGACTCTAGCTATTTTCCAGCAAGATGTAAAAATACTCGACTTGTACGAGAGATGGTAAAATAACTTGGAGATAATTGGTCAATTCTGAATCACACTTTTTGAGAATAATGAGTGGAATGCCATCAGAACCGTTAGCCTTATTCATTTTGAGACCATGCAGAAAGCGTCTGATAGCGCGTTGACGAAAGACGATTTCGGGCATTCGAGTTTCAACTTGTGGAATGTCGCGGCACTATTTCATGGGAATCAATAAGGTGAAGTTTGCTGCCAACATCTCTGCAAAAAGGTTTGCTTTCTCTTGCGATGTTGTTGCTAGTATACCGTCTTTAGAGTGATGGGAATGAACTATTAGTGAAATTCCTTCCGACTGCCTTAGCGAGGGACCAAAACGAACGGGAGCCATATTGGAACAATCTAAGAGTTTTGATTCAATTTTGGCATTGTATGATTTATTTGATGCATCTATTGTCTGGCCAGTCTGGCTGCAGTTATTCCTGGCTTCAACGCCTTCAACATGTTTTGCTCTAGTCATGAGGTTAGGGTTTTAGCGCTAGCGAGGTTAGGGTTTTTGCGCTAGCGATGGTAGGCTTTTTGGTTCAAGGCAATGCTAGAACAGTTCTTCTTGAACCAGTGTCGAATATAGGAAATGATTAATCAAAAAGCTGTCAAAATTTTGTGATTTTGTATATTCAAACTGTTCAATAAATCTATACTCTGTAGGCAATATATTATACACATCATATTATTATTATCATCAAGCTTTATTTAAATGCAATTAGTGCATAACACCTTGGAGAAACCACTGGATCAAAAAGTTGAACCAGAAAAGCATTATCATGGCCCTTCTCATATAAAAACAGCAACCTATCCAACAGAATTAAGCTCTCAATTATTGGAGCCAACATACTTCTAATCAGATAAAATATATTCAGTTCATCACTTCTATCTTTGTAAGAATCATATATTGCATTTACTTCTGTATCACAAAGATCAACTTTCAACTTTAAACGTTCCATAGCTTTCTTTGTATAATCCAAAAAATCCTCACTCTCTTTTCTAAATCTTCCCACTCTCCTCTTATCTTTTGGTAAGTCTGGAAATTTATTATCCAGAATGATTTCAAACAGTGCTCTGTAAAATATCGTCTTGTTTGGAAGTTCTTTTTTGTCTAGAATTCTATCAACTGATTGAGCAGCTAACATCCTACCTGCTCTTCCAATGATACATTTTTTCTGATAGAGATAATCACTCATAGGAAAACCTTGAGTATGGAAAGGTTTATCATTGCTATCCTCATAGTGTTCACTGAGAAAATGGTAACAGCAACCCACATTGCAGATTGTCTTGATTTCTCTTTGAGAGGTAAATATTCTTAATGAAGTCTCTGCCAAGTTACCACATGTATGTAAACCTATGATACCTAAATTATTTGGCACTTCTAGAAAAACATCATTTACTAATTGGCTTAAATTGATATTTTCATCTACATATTTTGTTACTTGTTTATACAAATCAGCAGTGGTGTTTTTATGTTTCTCCTTGTTTTCACTTTTATCAACTACACTATTCCAGACTTTTGACAATTTTTTTACTCTGTTCACAGCCCCATTTGTATTGATTGTTGATACATCAATACCAAGAACTGGTATCTTATGGTGTAGAGCAAGCATGGAACTAAGATAACCTTTTCCATCCCCAATATCAATAAGATGACTTGTTTGAGAAATATTTCTCAAAGCAGCTGAAACACAGCTGAGAATTTCTACCTCATGGGATTTTTTGGATGTCATAAATATGTTGAGTTTGAGCCTTAAAAATTCCTCACAGCCAAGATCAGATAACTTCTGTAAAAATGTATTTGTAGTGAAGCAAACTTGGGAACAATTTTTCAATGTGAATCCTTTGGACTTTTTCACAAACTTATGCAAACTTGATAAACCTTCATAATTGTCATTGAAAATATGAGAAATCACTTGCTTCTTGTTCATTTCTTCAAGTTCTTGCTGTATAGATTCAGGAATATGATTCTTAAATCCATTCTTAGTAAAATAGTCTACCATATGAAAGTTAGCTAACTGCAAGTAGGGTTGCAGATAACAAAGAAGATTGTCTATATGTTCCTTAACAAACTGACTCTTGGATATCATGTTCAAAAGGACAAATTATCTTTTTCTGGAAAACTAGCATCAATTTTACATTGGGCACATACTTTTTTGAAGTTTGCTCTGATTGTATTAGCTAACTCTATAATATCAACCTCTTCAGTATTGTGTATGGGAAAATTACATAATATTTCCTTCAACTTCTCTAAAGCACTAACTATTTTTTCCTGGTTGCTTGTAGCAATGTGTTTGTAATATTCTAAGTATCTTTCAATAATTCCAGTGTAAAAACCTATTTCAGCTCCTAACTCAGCACCTCGGTGGTAACCTAAGTGATACCCTTCTGCACTGCCCTTTGAAACACCTATTTTAAAACCTTCTTCATAAGCCTTCTCTATCACCTTCTCTTCACCAAGTAGTATATCATCAAATATATCATTTATATCTGTATCCTTGTCTGTATCTACAAAGTAATTGAGAATTAAAATAGGTGAAGAGTTCAGAGTTGTCATCAAAGACTACCACATGTTTGATTTTGTTGCATATTATCCATCTTCATATCAATTGATAGATGTTTATTTTATTGAATTTTTGGAATGTATTTCTCATTGTTCCCTCTGGTAGAATCAACTTATAAACATTTCAGGTAAAATCTCCAACTTGAAAGCATAATCTCATTAAATAACGTCTTAAAAGAAAGAACAACTATCCAAACATAACCTAATATAACCTGATCAAAATAAATCAAAGACACAGAAGACACTGACAGTTATTTCTTTTGCATTTAAAGTGTAGCACTTTCCTAAGGTGGCTATAATTGGAGCAAGTTGCCATAGATCATTTGAAGCAGGATTTATTTGCTCCGTGAATTTTCACGGACCAGAGAAATCAAATTGATCAAGTTGGATGACAAATGAAAACCAAGAAAATGGCGAAAAATGCAACAATTATGTATAAATATGGCTAAACAGAGTAGAATTTTCAACATTGCAAAAATAATAGACGTGAATTCGGACATCATCCTTATATCATCTATTATATATATATATAATCACACATACAGGGTGTCCGCTAAAAGGAGGTCAATCCATTAACCATATATTCCTTGAACGAGCCTTGAACGAAAATAATATGAGTTTCTAAATACCATTTTTCATTTTACCCCTTCTTATTCGATATACAGGGTGTCAAAGTTGAAAATTAAAAACTGTTTATTTCTAATTACTCGCGTAATTGATAAGATATTAATCTCAAAATAGGTACATTACTTCAGCACAAAGAGTTACATAGTGTGAGGAAAACAAAACAGAAAATAACTGTCAAATATTCAAAATACTGGGGGTCAATATAAGTACACACTTAACCCATATTTTTTATCGTACGTGTGCAAATGACTTTCTATCGATTTTTCTTCAAGTGTTCAATCATTTTTGAGTATTTTTTGATTTTTCTAAAATTCCGATAAAATTATTTGTTTTTAAGATAATTCGAAAAGTACTGGTTATTGTTTGATGCCTTGCGGCTTACGGTAATCTCATAATGTTCACATACTCCTATTTATTTCGTCGAAATTGGAAGAGGGCGTATCTTATTACGTACGGAAAGGTGAATATGGAAATACCGGGTGCTCAGAGCGAATGTATTAAAATAATTTTCACACTTTTTAAATTTTTTTTTTTTGTAAAAATTATTTTAGTACATTTGCTCCGAGCACCCGGTATTTCCATATTTACCTTTTCGTACGTAAAAAGATACGCCCTCTTTCAATTTCGACGAAATAAATAGGAGTATGTGAACATTATGAGATTACCTAAGCCGCATAGGCATCAAACAATAACCAGTACTTTTCGAATTATCTCAAAAACAAATGATTCAATCGAAATTTTACAGGAAACAAAAAATACTCAAAAATGATTGAACACTTGAAGGAAAATAGATAGGAAGTCATTAGCGCACGTACAAACAAAATATGGGGGTAAGTGTGAACTTGACCCCCAGTATCTTGAATATTTGACAGTTATTTTCTGTTTTGTTTTCCTCACACGATGTAACTCTTTGTGCTGAAGTAATGTACCAATTTTGAGATTAATATCTTATCCAATACGCGAGGAATTAGAAAAAAACAGTTTTTAATTTCCAACTTTGACACCCTGTATACCGAATATGAAGGGCTAAAATGAAAAATGATATTTAGAAACTCATATTATTTTTGTTCAAGGAATATGTGGTTAATGGATTGACCTCCTCTTAGCGGACACCCTGTATATTTCTAGTCATTTATCAAGGTTTCATTCATTCTTGAATTTGAGTGTAAGTTAGGTGGAGGTAAACTACACTGGTGTGAAATGTTCTTTTCAAAAGAATGCTCGAATACGGTTTAAATTACACTTAGTGTACGAAGTACTTCTTGTACAAAAGGAAGGCCTTATGGAAATGTCAAATGCCATTTTTAATGTTGATGAAAGATGAAAGATGAAAGCCTGACTTCCTGAAAGGTTGATGTGATATAAAAACACATGAAAATAAATACAATCTTTATTTATAATAATTGTCATTAGTTTTTATTATTTGCACACGTTTTATTTGTTTACTCGCAAATTAAATATTCGGTGGTTACAGACAGTAGGTAAATATTGGAAATTCTGGCGTATTGAATAAGTAAAATAATGAAATGTCTACAGATTTCCTTGATTTCCATCAAGAGGGAGAAGTTCCTGGCAATGTCCATGTCAGGAAGTATGGAAAGTCCTAGCAAAGACTCTGGGAATAATAGTCTTGTTGGTAGTAATAACAATTTGTCCAGAGAATTCAGTACATTATCAATGTCCCTTTGTTCTTCCACTACATCTCAGGATGAACATTTCAGATGTGAAGGACATGCTGAACATAGTCTGTCTTGTATGAAAAACTATTTACAAGCTGGAAAGTTGTGTGATGTCACTCTGATTGCAGGTAGCAATGGTAAAAGGGTGCAAGCTCATAGGTAAGGGAAAAGAAGTGTTATGGTCTCTGACTTTTTCAGTGGCAATGGCTTAGAATCCAATAAAAAAATATTTTCAATTGTTCCCATTCAGAACATGGAATGAATATCAGTATTTTTTCAGTTGTAGAGCAATGTTAAATGCCAGGAAATGCTTAGTTTAGTTTTAAAATAGATATCACTTATTCACATGCTTATTCACTCATCAGTACATACTGGTCTGGTCAGTACTTATTGTGCAGTGGAGTCTGTTGAAAAAAAAAACAGTTTTTTTATAGAGTACCATACTATGCTTATTTGAAGAATGCCTCAGCATGTTTAAATCCAACATTCAAAAACGTCAGTTTTTTAGTTACCACAATGACCCTAGTAACTTGAAGTCTGAAAATTTCCAATTACTAATCATCCTGTATGATAGATAGATAGATAGATAGATCTTTATTTAACTACGTGATGTATAAAACATTTGTAGCAAGTCAGGTAGCAAGTAGTTACAAAAAGTACAGTACAATATTCACTAAATAAATAAAATAACAATGATAGTAAAATAAAATAATATGTGTACATTACAACATATCATACACATATAGTAGACACAATAATTATTGGGACATATAACATGAGTATTGGAGCATAAATATATGTGTTTCAGTTTTTCAAATCACATCCTGGGTGGGTCAGCCATATACTCAGCAATACTGTAGTAGCATTTTTCCTGTAATAGCACTTTGAGAGAGTTTTTAAATGTCGATTGATTTTCATGCTTTAGTGTTGCAGGAAGTATATTGTAAAGGTCAACAATCATCGAGTTTTTGAATGACTTGTTGTATTTAAATCTTCGAGACCTGATCAAATTTGCATTGCGTGTGTTATGATCATGGTAATTTGAGTTAGTCAGGAGTTTATTTTTATTTTCATGAATCTCGAGCAGAGACTGATAAATATACAAAGTTGGTAAAGGCATGATATTGAGTTGGCAAAATAATGGCCGACAGGAATCTCTGTAACCCGCACTACAGATTATTCTAATAGATTGCTTTTGAATCTTGAACACTTTTCCAGAGTAGGAGGAATTTCCCCAAAGGGTCAATCCGTAGCTGATATATGATTGGATGAGAGCAAAGTACGCGGAAAGAAGAGTATTTTTATCAACAAACGCTTTTAGTTTTCTCAGAAGGAAATTGTGTTTGCTCAATTTGGAACAGGTATTTTCAATGTGTGGTTCCCAGCTTAAACTATCGTCAATAGTTAATCCTAGAAGTTTGGCGTGGTCGCCTACAGATACTTTATTGTTTGTTGAAAAGATTAAATGTTTCGTCTTATCTTTATTCAATTTTAGTAAATTACTATTGAACCATTCTTGTGCAAGGTTTTCCGCTGTTTTCATCGAAGTTAATAGCGATTCGTAACTATTTTCAGAGCATATAAGAGAGCTATCATCAGCAAAAGCAATACCTAGATAAGGCAACATATGACCAAAAAAATCATTGGTGTAAATTATGAATAAAAGTGGCCCCAGGACCGAGCCTTGGGGTACACCTGTTTTAACCAGATTCAGCTGAGAGTTTGCTCCATTGACAGTAACACACTGACTCCTATTCTGAAGATATGACTCAAAGAGTTTTAATGATACTCCTCGTACTCCATATTGAGAGAGCTTGTTCACCAGGATGTTGTGGGAGACACAGTCGAAAGCCTTACTGAGGTCACATAAGGTTACGCCTGTTAGTTTACCCTGTTCGAAGCCCTCGACTATCTCTCTCACAACCACTGCGATTGCATGACTAGTTGATCGTTGTTGTCGGAATCCAAATTGATTATTGCTTAATAGTTTCTCGAAATATTTGTTCAACCTTTGTTTTAATATTATTTCAAAAATCTTACCAATGTAGGGCACAATAGAAATTGGCCTATAGTTCTCAGGGTTTTCTCTATCGCCCTTTTTAAAAATAGGCATAACTTTGGTGAGTTTCAGCTCATCAGGAAAAATACCGTCCACAATACACGTGTTAAATAAGTCAGTAAGAGGATCGACTAGTAAAAAGGAATTTTCTTTGATTATTCTGCTATTGAGTTCATACATGTCAAAGCAGTAAGTATTTTTTAACTGGTGGATAGCACTTGCTACCTCTTGAGGAACTACCGGTTCAAGGAAAAATGAGCCTGGCGCTTTAGGCTTCAGAAGGTCAGGAATCGAGCCATCATAATAATAATAATTATCATCATCTAAAGGCAACTGACTGATGACTGTTTCTGCCACCTGCGAAAAGTAATTGTTAAGATGATCAGCTGATAAATTTTCAGGTACATTATTACTAGTGTGTTTGTTTCTTTCAAAATTGATGAGTTTCCAGCTATCTCTTGTTTTATTAGAGGAATTATTCAGGAAAGTATTGAAGGATTTTTTCTTTGCAGTTTCGATTGCGTTTTGGTACTCTCTGGTCATTTTTTTGTAAGTATTATTAAAAGTTGAATCATTAGTGGAGTCACGAATTGTTTTGATAATTTGCAATGTATTTCTCATATCCCTGAGATCATCGTTGAACCATTTGATGGGGTTTCCTTTTTTACCATGTGTTTTTGATAAGGGAAAATGAGTTTCGGAAAGCTCTTTGCATGTAAGTAATATAAATTTAGCTTTTCCAGAAGCCGTTCTACAACTATAGAATAAATCCCAACTTATATTTTGTAAGGCATTTTTGAATTTTTCCATGCCTGCAGGAGTTATTTTTTTTCTGAGGTTTTGTTTGGGAGTTTTACAAGAAGCGTTTTTAATAGTGATAAATTGGGCATAGTGATCAGAGAGGCAAGGATCAATAATGTCACTCTCATAATTTTCCCTATCAAGATTCGTGAGGATATTGTCTATACAGGATTTAGAGCCGTTATCAATCCTAGTATATTGAGATATGGATGCTTCCAAACCAAAGGAGTTTGTTAAACAGATGAGATTCGACAAATTCAATGACGATTTGAGAAAGTCGATATTGAAATCTCCTAATAAAATAACTTTTTCAAATTTACTGGAAACTTTGCTGAGAATTTGCTCTAAATTTACAAAAAAGTCAGTGCAATCTGAAACGCAAGAAGATCTGTATAGAGTAAGGACCGCTATATGCGAAGGAAGTAGCTCAATGCCACATATTTCTATGTCTCTTTCTTTACAAAATTCTGATAGTGATAAGGGTCTACATTTGATTTTTGTTGTTGCGAAAATGGCGACTCCACCGTGAATGTGCTTCGTCCTACAATAATGTGCCACCAACTCGTAATTCGATAAAGTACAAAGTTTCAGACTACTATCATCTAGCCAATGTTCTGAAATACATAATATGTCATAAGAATGATTTTCAAGAAACAACGATAGTCTGTCAATTTTGTTAGAGAGTTTACGTACATTCAAATGGAATATAGTCAGATTTTTTTCTCCTGGAACACATACATTTTTTAGACTAGGGGTAGCATTTGCTTCACAATTTTGTTGTTGTTTTGATACAGCCCCTATTATCTCTGCATCACTGTCTTCCTCTGAAGATATAAAAAACGCTGAATAAGTGCACCGCTGGGCCATTTAGATGGATCCATTGCTTTTTCATAATTGGTGGCATAAACACTGACCTTGAAAGACGAGTAAAGGTCTGGGTGTTTTGCTGATAGTTGTTCTGTACGGACTTCTGGAAAATGAACTCTTACCATGTCTGTTAGTTCTGTAGCTGTTAATTTGGGGTCAAGTCTGTAAACGTGTAGGTTTGCAAATCTTGGCACACCCAAAACTTCCCTTCCATTTATCTTCATTGAGTCATTTTCTCCAACAACTATGTCTCTCTTCTTGTTTCTTCTATTCGTGACTTTTTTCCAATCTGTGGTACTGTTGGTTGTTGAATAATCTTCATTTGCCAAGTTAATGTACTCATCGTATTTTTGCTGAGTCCTTGCTCGTAAAATTGCGTTTGACACTTCTTGTGTAGATACTACCTCAGTCAGTGCTTTCAATGGCATCAAAAAATGCTGTGTCGTCATCTTCCCTGGGCATATCCTTGCATTTGAAACATATAAATTCAATTTGTGATTTACTTAGTTGACCAAACTCAGCATCTGATATATCACTGCACTCGCGATGAAACCACTGTTTACAAGATCCTGCACAACCAATTTTATATACAGTTTTCCCAATGTTTTTTCCACATTTTCCACAGAGAACATGACAACATAAATGACCCTAGTAACTTGAAGTCTGAAAATTTTCTATTACTAATCATACTGAAAGGATCTGACAGGAGTACCATGTAATATCAAGTGAAATATCACTTGAAAACTTTGAACCATTTTACATTATCAGTTGTTATTTCCATATTTATGATCTCAAAGTGTACCACTTAAAAAAGCATAAAGCATTCCTGGATAACTTACTTTTCACGCTTGCTCTATATTATGTGCTTGAAAAATTGCACATGTTTGAAAGACCTTAATATCCACATATACATTGATATACCAATTTGATTTCCCCAAGTGGCTTCCCAACTTGCTCTTCCCTAGTAATTTTTACTAGGATTTCCAAATTTCAAACCATATAGAAGTCCATTATAATTCATAGTGGAGTACTAGTGAAACTCCTAGTCCTCTCTACAATTATGTATGAAAATCTTAGGCTTGATATCATCAAGAATGACATGTCTGAGGATTGATTTGATGACAGCAATGCAACATCATCCAGCAACAGAAGTGATCAACACATGCAGGCCACTAAGAGACAATGTTGATGAAACTAACTCAAAGAGAATTAGAAGTGAAAATATTATGAATTTCATGATTTGATTTTTCATAAGGAATGGACAACATTTCACTAAACAAGATTTTGTAGCACCCCATTTCCACAACTCTTCCACATCTTTTCAAATTAATTGAAATTCTGAGTCAGAGCTCAGGAATTAATTTTTGAGAGATTTTTCTTGAGACAAATGTTGAATATGGTTGAATAGCTTCTTGTACAATGTCAGATAGTT